TGTGCAGGCTCATCAACCCCAACTTAAGGAGGGTTATACATATATATATATATAAGGGATTATATAGGGGGACTACTACAGGGGTTATTAAGGGGGATACTAGGAGTTTAGACAATGGCTCAAGTGATGGTCATGAATGGGGGTAGTATTTAGCCTACGGGGTGGTATTAAGCTGACTAAGTCCCCCTGGCCCTGCAAAACCTTAACCCCAAATTCGGTAGTTTCCCAAATAGGGGGACCCCCAATATAGACCCAAAATAACTGTAGTCCTTACTGTAGGAACAGTACCCCTAATTTTGGGAAACCCCAGTTACTAAGCCTCAACCCGAAACTTGAAAGCTGCGACTCGTTAAGTTGTCCCCAAAACATCTACGTGGGAAACTCGCATATAACCGGTTTTCAACCCACGTGGGGGTCTCCCAGAATAGGTTTTAATTTGGGGGGGTCTATCGTAGCATTTTGTGTTGGGGTACTGTATACCCCTATAGAGAGAATTAGTGCTTGGTTCCAAATCTTCCCGAGAATGGTCCAGGTTCATTGACGCTGAATCAGTCCACCGCAGTGCTGGAGGCATATATGGCCAGCTTCGTGCTGGGCGTGGAGATGGAAGATCTGCAGAGCAGCAGCAGCTTGCTGATGAATGAAATTTGCGGTGTGTCAGCTGTGCATTTGATAGCTGCCAGATTTGGCATGCCCGCATAGGGAATGGTGATGCAGCGAAGATATACTTGCAAATGTCAGAAGTAGAGCTTGTGCCGCTTGGAGTTTTCCGAATTGAGCGGTGTCTTTGGCTGAGGTATGCTGGAGCTTGTCCAAGAGGTTCCAGAGCAATACCCTACATGGCCAGCAACACAGGATTTCCTGCAGGAAGTTCAAGCAGAGGTGGTCGAGAATTCCAGTATGCTCTCCTTGCAAGACCTGTCGCAGGTTGTTGCTGCCGTTGATGAAAGATACGGACGATGGCAAAGTCACGAATGCAGAGCTTTGAAAGCTGAGCTTCTGCAGATTGAGGAGCACCCCCGCACTGGCAGAGTTCGTTTGAGTGACTTCTACAGCATGGCTCTCAAGGGCGGCCAGTGGCAATTCAGCGAAAGTAGCTCATACTTGCGGCAGATCGGTGCCCTTGATGAAACAGATCCACAATCTCTGCGCGTGGTGGTTCCAAACTACATCCTGGGCTTCTCCAACTGCATCGCTGCTTCCAGCTACTACATGGTCTGCTGCATCAACGAGTGTGATGCGCACATGGAAAGACTCTTATAGGGGTTAATATATTGGGATAATGGAAAAGAAAATGGAAACTACTACCATGGGTTATGCAGGGATTGGTATATATTGTTTGCTGCGGATTAGTAAGGAATGGAAGGTCGGATCCCTGTAGTAGTCCTGAAACACTCTCTGCTAATAATCCCATAAGTATCTTATTCCTTCATTTCCTGCTAACCACCAGTAGGTAGATGCCCAGGGGATAGACATGGAGTTATGAGCAGACCAACCCCATCTAAGGGACTCATACCCTCCGTTATACTCTATTCAATAGGTCCCATGGGCCTTCAAGCAAGGACTGGAGACCGTGCTGCAAGCTGACCAGGCGACTGTGGAGGCCAGGTATTTGGCTTCCAGGTGAGAATTGTTGTCCTCAAATGTCCGCTCTGCCGTATTTATAGTAGTGACATAGGCTTTCTCGACATGACCTCCTTAGTTTAAAGATTCCTTGAAAAATCAAACAGGTTTTGCTTCCTTGTCAAGTTCATTCACGGAGTCAGGATATCCTCGTGACGCTCAATCAGACTGTTGCCCCAAGCCTGGAGCGTCGGTTGTCAGACATTGCTGACCACCACGGCGGCATGGTGCCCCTCCATGGGCGCCTTTTTGCTCAGTGGCTCCACCACCTACATCCCCATGAGTGTCCTTATCCGCACATGTCGGGAACTACCAGCCCTCTCCGGCCAGAGGTTTTCGAGCAAGAAATGGGCCTGCCGGCCGAAGCTTCTGAAGAGGACACTGGGCCAAAGTTGTAAATGCTTCTGAATTGGTATAAGGAATCTAGAAGTTCTCAGAAGTAAATGGTATCTCACATGAGCCTGCACTTCTGGATGGTTACCCGAGCTTCCAACACTCTAATTCTATATAGTCTCCCAATGTGGACCTAAACCACAAATCCTAAACCCTACGTGGAACCAGGAGATGATCCAACATGTGGAAGCAGCGCAGTGGCGAGCCGCCCCGACACACGAGGAGGGGATGTGCTCCAACATGTGGCTAGGTGGCAAGTTGGGATGGTCATTTAGCCCCTTTGGGTTAAGGGTTAAGGGTTTAGGATGTAGACACTGCCCGGAAGATGGTGCCACGATAATTTCCGGGTGATGTTTATCATCAGCGTGGGGGCGGCGGCATTGATTATCAGGGGATGTGATTACTTTCTCTTCCTTTTTGAGTTGCGACTCCCCTGATTGTACCCAGGTTCTAAGGTTGAAACTGTGGGCCCCTAGTATGGGTCCTTAACCCTCGGATCCTTGTATACCTATTATAACCCTATATGTACCTTTAGGGGTCTATAGAATCCCCCCAAAAGGCATATTTGGGGCCAATACTTCTGACCAGACATGTGGTCCATGGAAGAAGTGCTTAAAAACCTTCTAACCGTAAACTCTAGACCGTCAACCCTAAACCTGAAATTAGGGGCCCATACTTACTTAAATCCTTAGACCCAGGTGGTCTATGGAAGAAGAGCTTATCGACCCAGCTGCCCATGGCTTGATGCGGTTCCTGCAGAACGAGCATAGCCAGGCTTTTGGCACGCAGCGTTTCTCCTATCCCCTTGGGACATGTTTTGTTTTTTGTATTATAGTATATGCTACAATCCCAAGAATTTTTCGTAGACATCGAATTGAAATAGTAAGTAAGGGGATTGCAGGTTTGGCTGCTGCCTTGGCAGCGCTTTGCCTCTTCAGCGCTTTCCGCTCTACTCTTGCTGCCACCAAAGGTGAAGCAGGGAGGCGATGGCAATCGGACTTAGGCGGCCTTCACTCGGACGGCGCGGCTGTTTACAGTGTCTAAGCGTTGAAGTTGCGGGCCTAAGGCAAGCTTCAATTCTGGAAGACATTTCCAGAAGTCGTAGAAGATTCGGTGAAAAGCGCCTAACATTTACCTGGCATGATGGGACATAAACCTTAAACTTAAACCCTAAAGCCCTAAACCGTACATGCAGCGAACTGTCTGTGACGGCCAGAAGTCCCAGCGGATCTCATGTTGGCCCGCAAGGCCAGGTCAGACCAACTCTTGGGTTGAACTCCGCGGCCTTAATATGTGGCTCTATTGTGGACTAAAGCCTAGTCATTCACCAACATGCACACAACAACAGCTGCAGATAGGTGGATCAGGAGCTGTTCACATAAAGGCCTAGCCAACTTTGAGATGGGCTTGGGGTGAGGGTTGTATGTGTCAGGTCATACATGATCTTGGATGCAGCCCACTGGCAAGTGCTTTAAAACAGCCAGCTCACTGCTTGAACAGCTTACTGTTGATGCTTTTGCAAAGATGAGCTGCGGACGGCCGCAGTGCAAACGAACATTTCGAGGCAACGTTTTTCCGGCTGTGGATGCTGCGGCTGTGGCTGTTGCCATAGAAGCCACATGACGGTTCGGAGTTCTATCATGCACTACCCTATGTCTAGTTGGCCAGAGGGTTCATGGCAAATGGGGATGCGCGAGCTTGGCGCTTTCAGTGGTAATTATTGTAAGAAGCTTGCTGCGAAGCTGACTGAGCATGCGCAGGCCCGCCTCTGCGTCTCAGCTGCACTGCCTTGAGAGCCAGCTAAAGGAGCATTTAGATCGAGTGGTCCGCAAAACCAGTGATTCCGTGCAACATGACTTTGGACAGCAGCCCTGCCCACTGCTTCCCATGGAGAAATCTCGCATAAGCAACTTCTTGCTGCTGAAGTTCCCAACTTGATGGAACCTGTTGTGCTTCAGCGCGTTTCAGCACAGGTTTTGCCGATGCAGCCTTGAATTCTGCTCGGAAGCGTGCTTTGTTTCTGCATGGCATGCGGAACACCAGTCGCTGGATGGCAAAGGAGCAAAGGTCGCTGTTGAGCGCTTTTGGGGCACTGTATTCACAGTTTCAGGGTTTGGGGCTTAAGGTTTGTGTAGCAATGCACAGCTAGAATCAGCTAGAAGTACAGCCATTCATTGGAATCTGTTTGGGATGTTGGCCTCAGCAAAGCAAGCAAGGTTCGTTTGCCCGCAAGCTGCCCAGATCAAGGAGGACCCTCCTTACATGTGGGTTGTACATTTGGAAAAAATGGTGTATACCAAGGATTATTTGAGGTTCGATTATTTCTATACGGGTCATCTGGGGTTCCCCCCCCTCTCTCTCTCTCTCTCTCTCTCGAAATCATCCCTACATAATCTTTGAGGGGACCATAATCCAGTTCCCTCCTCCCTCCTCCCGTCTCCCGAAGGCCCCTATTTTGCGAGCCTTGCAGAATCCCCGTAATCCCCGTTGTTTTTCAGATTTCAGGAACAGCATGTTGACTCCGATGGTCCAAGCAAGCTCCTTGTACGTATCCCTCCAAGGCGCACAAAGTCACCATAAGGTTGTAACTGTAAACCCTACCAAACCCAAAAAAAACAAAAAACTAGACCCTAAAACCGTGACAATTTCATCCACGCCGGGGTCCAGAACACCTGGCAGGCTTGTTAGTTGGAAGCACAGCTATAATGGGCTGCAGTTACAGAGTTCAAGACTTTAAGTTAAGTTCCTTCAAGAAGACAACCTACACGGTTTGCGGTTGTGTTTTCGGAGTTGTCTATAAAGGGACTCTACTGGGAACCCCAAATAGGGAACCCCAAGAATATAGCAGGAATATAATGGAACATAAGGACCCTGGTAGGTATATTCCTATTATATACCTACTATATTCTTGAGGTTCCCGGTTTGGGGTTCCCGGTAGAGTCCCTTTATTTACCATTGTCTAGATTTGGGTACTTCAGTTCAAGCTTCTGAGGAGCAGCCCAGGGGACGTTCTACAAGGATGGGACCAAAGAAGGCCCAAATTTACAAAGTTCTCTATTTGGGAGTTTCCCAAACTTAGGGGTACCTTTTTGGGGGTCCCCATATTAAGGATTATAGAATATTGGGGTCTATATTGGGGTACCCTAATTTTGGGAAAGTACCATTTGGATCCCACAAGTAGGGGAAATAACTGTCCAGAACCAGCACAAAAAAGTGTCAAACAAACGCATAGTTCTACACGACTTGGGTTCCAGGAGACTGCCCCCCAAAAATGCAAAACCTGGCATAGGTCCTTTTAAGCTGCTTTTTAAGCCCTCAAAACTGACAGAGAACAACCTCTTGCAGGGCCCCGCCAGCTACCATGCAAAACCTGCTGCTAGAAGCCCAAAACCTAAATCCTTCAACCCTAAACCCTAACCCCTAAATCCTAAACCCTAAAACCCTAAACCCTAAAACCCTAAACCCTATACCCTAGACCCTAAACCCGAAAGAGCAGGACCTAGAAGCTCGCAAAAACAGCGGCCTCGGAGAGCGCAGTGGTACCGGCCAGCTGGTGGTGACCGCCTCAGAAAGCCCAGGTAGTAGGGTTGAGGGTTTAGGGTTTAGGGTTGCTGTTAAGGAACTTAATTTATGATACTATATTATCCCCTTGAAATGGAGCATCAGATGCAAAGTAAAATGGAAAACGAAATGGAAGACTGGAGGAATATAGGGATTCAAGGAGCTTAATTTAAGTTACTATCGAGGCAACCCTCTTATTTACTATATATATATATATCTGCCCATGAGGGTAACTTAATTAATGCTCCTATATCGTGGCAATCCTATTACCTGTTATTTACTTTACCCATTATGGTAACTTAATTTAAGTTCCTTAGCAGCAACCCTGGCACGGTCCTTCTGGGTGTGGTGGGGAGGTGCCGCTGGGAATTCTGCAGAGCTTCAAAGCTGTTCTGTGGGTCCATGGGCGTGGTATGGTACATCTAAAGGTGAAGAAGTCTACAGTTGAATGAGGGTGTTGGACTTGGAGTGGGTTGCAGAGGTTGCGGTTTGCTTGTAGTTGGTTAAGGGCGCTTCAAGGGAGAGTCAGATGCGCGTTTTGGGTTCGTTTCTCACAGGGTATTGAAAGGCCTTAATCTTTGCTAGGTAGCTAGCAAATCAGTCTGGTTGGCTGGGGCGAGTGAGGGCTGCAACAGGGGTGGCGGCTTCCACCAAACTCTGAGGCCCGATACGCTGCAAAAGCCCCCCAAAAAAATGAAAAACAACATAAACACCATTATAGTTTGCTTGATGGTGTGACAGCCTAAGGCATACCCCCAAAACTCAAGAGGTGCCAGTCACCGGTCTTGGTTTGATAGGGACTTTCTGGGAATTGTATGCGGGTTTTCAGAAATGAGGGAGTCCTTGTCGAAAGGGCGGGTGTAAGTTAATCAGGGTTTACATTGAGGCAGTCTGTTTTGGAAATTCCCATGTAAGATATCAAAAGGATGTTGTTGGAGCCTTGAGGGGAGAATCTGGGATATCCGTAAGAAAAATTTGTCCCGCTAAGAAACGTGGAGCCCATACCCTAGGCATCCAAGTAAGTATACTTTATAGATTTCAGGGCACGCGTAGGCATCAGTATTGTCATTACTGTTATTTGTATCCCTAGAGTCAGATGCTCATGGGTATAGTATAGTCTGGCATAAACCTTTGCAGGCATCAGTTGTTGAGTGCTGTTGCAGGTCCATGTTATTTTCAGGGGGGGTGGCAGTATTGTAAGTTGAAGGAGCAGCTAGGCCACAGCTGGGAGACCGAGAGATTGCCACACAAGTGTTGTGACCGACAATGAGCTGATGATACCAATTGTATGGGGGAGCTGTTGTTTTCAGAAATGCTCCAGGACTCCTTGTCTAGCCTTCGCGAGCAGCGAATCCATTTATCATACCTGCAGCGTGCGCAGTGTTACCGTACATTTCAACCAGCTACGCTTGCTGCAAACGGGCCGTGTCAGCAGCCGTCAAACTGAACCCCTGCAGCGCAAAGCACCGAAACCACCACAAGTTCAGTAGCTGCGGGTGCAGCCTCAAGCCAAAAGCCATTTCGGTTCCCTGAGGCTGTCGCTCTATCCAGGACGCGGCCGGTCGACTTCGGCGCGCAGCCCCAGGCCCGGCAGAAAGACAGAGACATCAGAGAACCCTATCATTTCTACCACATGTAGATTATTTGAATTTTCTATGTTCATTTTGTTATTAGCGGTAATAGTGTCATTTTTACTGTTAGTATTATTCTTAGAGTTATTGCGATGATTAGTATTACTACTATTATTGTATGGACGAGCGGCAGGTCCCTACAAGTGCTTTTTGGGGTTCTTGTCGACATGAACACTGCCCATTGTTATGCTTACACATGAGGCGTGATGGTAGCTGGCAGAAAGATGTTGAAACGCTGCTGTATGATAGGTTTCCGCCACAGCGTCGGCGACGAAGGTAGCCGGCCTGCGACCAGGGGGGCTGCCATGCATTCCAAGCGGTTTTGACAACGAAGTGTATTCTAATTCTGGGGCTGGGCTTTGGTGTTCTTATCTTGCGACACAACAATGGTTGCATCACGGATTCTTTAAAATTGTTTGTGTAAAAACCAATTACTGCGCTCTTCCTGCGCAGTTTGCAGGAAATTATGCGGAATCTTCTCGCATGTCCTGGCTCCATGTCATTTGGAAGTGGCAGAAGCCGTGGGCAGTTTCATCGCAATGCGAGGGCTAGCATGAAATAGAGGTCACCTTGCACTTGGGAAGAGCCTGTATCCCAATCCACCTTCAGGGTGCTGATGAGACACCGAAGAATGGAGGCAGTGGAGGCTGGCGCTTCGATGCAACTCACGACACAGGGCTAAACAGGGGTTTCAGCTGCGACAACGTAGTTGCTTAATTAAGTACTTCCTGAGTGCACTTAATGTCACACATGCATGCACCGGAAACTTCAAGAATATGTGTATGCAGACGGATGTATGGATATCTATCCAAATTACATTTTGCTTTGCTTCCGTTAACCTCAGCCTCATTC